CTATTTTTCTTTACATTTATATATATATATATATATATATATATCAAATATACAGTATTAATATTAATAAATGTTACATCAAATTGCAACATACAGTCCATAAATATTAAAGCAAAAAAGGCAAATAATATGTTGTAATATTCATCTAATATTATTAATTTTGTTATATATTTTTTTTGTCGACATTATTTGTCTATAAATCTGTAATACTTTTTATTTAAGACATAACTATAATATAATATGTAATAATAATAATAATACTCTTTCAGTACTATACCCTTGAACTTAATATAACGATATGTTAGCAATAAATAAAATATAAAATACTATTATTGAAGTGCAAGTAAAAACTGATTTATATTATTAAAATTATAAAACATTAAATATATTTAATTTTAATGTATAAATATATTATAAAATATAATAGAGTACATTATTTTGTATATAATATAATAACAACATAAGTTTATAATATTTATAAATTATGTGTTTATATTTATTGTTTATAATAAGTCTTAAATACAAACTCAATGTACAKTATTTTATTTATCAATAATTACTTTATTTTTAAAATTTTTGTCAATAATGTCTATTAATTCAAAATAAAATCTATTATTTGTAAATAATTTTACTATATATATATATATATAAGTTTTATATATATTTATTTATTTATATCTTTGTAAAAAATATATTGATTTATTTACTATAAAATATTTATGTCTATCACAATGGTTATTAATTTTATTTTTGTATACAATATTATATCAATAAATAGTGTAAATATAATTGATTTAATTCTTTGATAATATACAGGTATATATATATATATATATATATATATATATATATATATATATATATTAAAAATTATTATTAGCTTTAATATATACATAAACTAGACTTTTGGAACGGTTTGGGTTTTATTGTTTCGGTTTCGGTTCGATTCATTAAAAAATGACATCAAATACAAAGTCTAATTTCACACACACACACACACACACACATACATACACACACACACACACACACACAGTTTGAAACAGTATTGACAAAAAATGTTACATAAAATTATAAAATAAAACAAACTAATTTAATATTATATTGATTATTAAACTGTTTATTAAGTTTATATTTTTAAATAACTAATCAATTAAATATTATTATTATTATTWTTGAGAGAGAGAGAGAGAGAGAGAGAGAGAGAGAGAGAGAGAAATCATTAAAACACTTGTGAAATCAATTTATGCCATTATATTGATATTTGTCAATCAATTAACTCTCTCTCTCTCTCTCTCTCTCTCTCTCTCTCTCTCTCTCTCTCTCTCAATCACTTAATAACTTACTCAATAAGTAACTAATGAAGTACCAAATTGTTATATATATATATATATATATATATATATATATATATATATATATATATACAATATATTTATATATATATATATATATTGTATGTTTCTCTAGACATACATTAGTTAACTATTAATGGATATACACTCTGTGAGTGTGTTTATGTGTTTTTATATAGTATTTTATACACTCTAAACAAAATAGCCATTTATTTAATATATTTATATATTGTATATTTTTTGTAGAAAATTGCGGATATAGACACAATTTCTATAAATAAGTATATATATGATAATAAAATTATAAATATATTAGTTATTTTTAGTAAAACATTTAGTAAGCATTATTTTTCTAATAATTTTTTCAATAATAATAATTATAATAATATTATTATTATTAATACTAATATACTATAGTATAATTTAATGGCATAGACATAACTCAATTGATTTATAAAACAAATAATGATAATGAAAGTCGATTTCATGCGAAATATGCTTTAAGTTTATGATTAAACTTATTTTATTTTTTACAGTTACTTATAASTTTGTCGATTTTATATTTAATATAAACTGTATATATATATAATGTATATATCTTACAAATTTATATACAGAATATTCTTATACTAAAATATTCCGAATATTATTGGAAATTCTCTCTCTCTCTCTCTCTCTCTAACGAGTGATGACAACCATTAAAACAACACATGAGTGAACATTATATTCAATTCAATTTATTTTCTCTCTTTCTCTCAAGTGATTTATAGTTCCAATCCATAAATAGATATATAAATTATAGTGAATTGTTTGAATGAAAATTTCATTGTCGCCCTCGCATTAAAACACAGTGCAAAAAATATATATTATATATATATATGAATTTTATAGTAATATATTTATACTTTGTAGTAAAATAGTGTTAAATAATAAATGATCAAATTGTACAATCAATTGTCCATTTTTTTGTTGATAAAAATTATTATTATTATTATTAAGTACGCTATGAAGGACAATGTGATAAAAATATGTAAATTTATTTTTGTATATAAATTTTATATAAAATTTATTAAATATATTCACGAATTCCTGAAAGGAATACGTATATGCATTCTATAAGTCGGTCTGTCGGTCTGTCGGTCTGTCTGTCCCACGAGGACATAGGTTCGAATCCACTATCCGCTACAAATTTTTTTTTGAATTTTTTTTTGTTTTTTTTCTTATTTAAGTTTATTTTTTAGGAAATTGAAGAAAATTGTGTCCAAAAATTAATTAAAAAAATTTTGAATTTTTTTTTTGATTTTTTTTTAATATTGATTTTTTGTTTTTCTCTCTCTCTCTCTCTCTCTCTCTCTCTCTTCTTTAGGAAATTGAAGAAAATGGTGTCCAAAAATTAATTAAAAAAATTTTGAATTTTTTTTGAATTTTTTTTTTGAATTTTTTTTAATATTGATTTTTTTATTTTTTTTCGTTTTTAAGTTTATTTTTTAGGAAAATAGTAGTTTATTTTGTAATACTGAATAATTTGATACCCCACATGACTATAGTTGTTTATTTTGTCATACTAAATCGTTTGATACCCTACATAACTTTAGTTGATTTTATTTTATCATACTGAATTTAATTTTTAATTATGATTAGGAATTCGTGTGGAAATGCTTTCTAGCATTCTCAACTGGTTTTTAGTTGAATCTAATATATTTATACATTATATTATATGTTTATTGATTATTATCAATTGAATGAACATTATTATTTAAAATTTATACTAGCTTATTTTTATTAAAATATATTAATAGTGCGTGTGAATATATATAGTATATATAGTGTATATATATATACTGTCTATATTTTATATAGTTAAATACAGGTATATTATTAATTTTTATGAATTTTTTAATTTTAATTAGCATAAAATAAAAATAATATTTTTTAAACTTATTGAAATATAAAATTTAGCTAGATAGATGTAAAAAAAATTAATGATCTGTTTTTATAGACAAGTTTTTTAGAAACAATTATTACTAATTTTCAATTGGCAATTTTATTAATCAACAAAAATTATTTTTTATTTTTATAATATATATATATATTGAAAAAATCTAGTTATACTTATGTGTAAATGGTATTACTATTAGTTTCGGTTAAATTTTTTTATGAGCATATATAGACATGTAATTTCCGGTCAAATTCAATACACCCGCTCAAAAAACGGATATTCAATACATATCAAACACACACACACACACACACACACATATATATATATATTCAATGTCTATCCTAATAAAATTTTTCTTATATTATTGAAAGACCGCCGAAATTTTATTGATTTCTAACAAATAGTCAAAAAAAACAAACAAACAAATAAAATGATAAAAAAATTTTATATGTTAGACACGTAGAGACGTGTTTTTTACCCGAGTGTTTGAACGAAAACAATAATATATATAAACAAATTATATATGTTTTTTTACAATAATAATAATAATACATCACAACAAATATATTTATAAAACTTATCAATAAAACTAAAATATAAAAAAACACATTTTGCAAACATCTCTCTCTCTCTCTCTCTCTCTCTCTCTCTCTCTCTCTCTCTCTCTCTCTCTTTCATCCCTTATTGACGACACTTTTATCGCTAAGTTTTTTTTGTTGTTGAAAATAAATGTCACACACTTTAAGTTGAATTTTTTTTAACACAACACAAAATTTTCATGGAAAAAATTATTATATAATAGACATGAATTACTTTTTAAAATAAAACAAACAAACAAAATAAACTTAACTATATATACATTATTGTTACAAACAAACAAACAAAAATATATAGTACTGTAACAGTAAATGATTGATACAATAGATTATTAAATAAGACTTTTAATTCATAATAAATATAAAAGACATTTTGAAAGTAAAAAAAACTAATAATAATAAAAACGATTTTTTTTATTGTACAGTATATTTTTGATTTTGTTTAATGTTTTATCATTATTATTTTTATTATTGTGATAAAATGATGGCAAAAAAAATAACTCAACAATGTATATTTTATTGTCAAGTAAACTTTTTAAAATGTGATTTTGAAAAATGTTACTAACATTTAATGATGTTTTTAATGGATTTTTTATGTTTTATCTTTTGATCACTTTTATAAATGTTGTTTTTTTTAAAAAAAAGAGGAAAAATATATATATTGTCTATAAAAAACAGATGTCTACTAATTATACAATAATTTTACCAAAAAAAAAACAATTAAAAATTTTAGTCCAATGCAAAATATATTAAATTTTTTTAAATATTTCAATTTTATATTAATATCTTAGTATATAATAATATATTATTTAATAAGTAGTAATTAAATATAATCATTAATAATACAGTAATACATTATTTTTTTTTTAATAAAATCATTACATAATTATTGATAAATTGAGGGGAAATTAAAAAATTAAAATGAATTTTATAAGTGATTTACACAAAAAAATAAACAAATAGTTTTATAATAAAAAAATAATACAAATGTTTATATCATAAATGTATTGTAACAAAAAAAATGACTTATTATTATTATTAAATTTATTATTAATGAATTCAATAAAACAATTTTCTTTTAAAAAAAAAACGTTAATAATTTAATGATATATTTGTGAATCAATTGTGTGATCTCTTATAAAATGTCGATTAAATATGATTTTATTTTACTAATAAATTTTGTTTGTTATCACAATTCAGTTTTCAGTTGTTGGTCGGCGTAAAATATAGACAACAACTCTAACCGCGACTTCATATCCATCGATGACTGATTCGGACCACCCGTTTTGTTGGCCGACGACGACGACGACACATCGGTAACAGACATACCATGAAAATGTGGTTTCTCTTCGTGTTTTCTAAGCGCCATCCGTGTCTTGTATTCGGCTGGACAGCCGTCGTGTTTGCACCGAAACTTTGTGGCYACAGCGGCCGCCGCCGGCGTTGTCGTTGATTTAGGAACAGTAGATTCGGGACTATCGACCCGTTTGCTGTTATCACTGAGTTTCGGTGGTTTAGAATCTATTTATCAGACAATAATATAAATTAAAGTTTTTTTTTAAAGAAATTTATTTATGTTTAACAAAATATAATAATAAATAAATAKTTTACCAGTTTTGATGACACCCTCCCGGTGCTGGCGCTCGTGTGCCCTCAAATCGGGCACTTTATCAAATTTTTCATCACAACCGGAATATTTGCATTTATATGTAGTGACCATCTGATGGACGGTCTTCTGGTGTTCGACCAGACTTTGAGGCGATTGGTAATCGTCGCCGCATTTATTGCACCGATAGTTGCGTCGCTTTTTCGGCGTTGACTGAGGTGTTACCGAATGTCCTCCTCTTTTGAGATGAACACGTCTGATGTGATCTATAAGCTCGTGTTTGTCGTTAAACTGATAGCCGCACTCGTCTTCAGCGCACCGGACCTGTTGGCCATTAAACGTTTGATGCAATTTCATGTGACTTTTGAGTAGCTGTTCGTCGGTAAACTTTCGGCCACAGGTGTGACACTTATTGCGTGATTTCCGATCTTTTGGTGATTTTTCTGTCGAAAAAAATAATAATATTATATATTATAATCAGTGAATCACAAATGTAAAAGTTATTTACCATTGATGTCGACGTCCATCGGCTCATCAATATCGGTGTTACTGTTGTCCGAGTCTTCGTGCTTATCATTGTCACTGTCGGACAGATACTTGCGGGTCGTTAGCTCCTCATCTCTGGTGACCAAAACCTCATTGATGGCCAACAACGACAACAGTTGACACTCTTCGCGCAACTCTTTGATCTCAATCTCGTACTGAATGGCAATTAAATCGCTTTCAAATACCGTCGGTTCTGGTGATTGTTGGCTATCGGCGGCTGTGCCAACTGTCGGCTCATTATTGACATCATTGTTGTTGTTGTTGTTATTCATGTCATCTAAATCTGAGGCCAAATCTATACTAACTGTCCTCGGGTTGGCCGACAATGAAGACTCTTCATTTATAGCCGACGTTTGCGGTGGAGGCGCTAACGGTAGAGACGGCGGCGGCGGTGGCAATGCTAGTGGKATCGGTGGACCTTCAATGGCCAACATCGGTACCATTGGCATGTCGATGGCCATCATCGGACAGGTATCGGGTGCAAGCATATCGTTAGCCGACTTCAGCAACTGGTTTTCTGTACGCAAATGTTGGACCAACTTCTGGGAAATGTCAAACGCTTCGGACATTACGGCAAACTTTTGGTCGGCAATGGCCAACATAGACTCGGTAGCCGTCAATCTCCGTTGCAATCGGCGACTGACGGCCACTTGTTTTTCGTACTTTAACTTGTATTTCATTTGTTATTATTATTATCTTCAACAACAATACCAATGATGACCATCGATGATGACATTACCACCAAAGCAGTGATGCAATGATTATCATTCATCCGTTAATTGGTTTTCACATTATATATGTATTTACAGTAATATTATATGTTTTGCCTAACAATACGTAACATTTAAATGTAGAATTAATACTGTAATAAATAAAACATGTGTTTTAATTATTATTATTATTCTAAAATAGTAGTCAACTACTAGTACAGACATTTAGTACTATTTTATATATAAACTCTAGTATTGAAATAGACATTCGACTAGTTGTATATAAATGTAACAAAACTATTGACAGCATATAGAGTGTTAATCTAATTAATGTTTTTTTATGACATTTCTTTAAAATAAACAATTTATATAATGTTTTTTGTTTTCATTTTTATTATTTTTTATTAATTATTACATTTTAAAAATAATATCAGGCATTATCACTCAACTGAGGCATTATCACTGAATTTATTGTGTATAAGTATATTAATCAATTTCAATTTGATTATATGGTTGAGTCAATTCAATAATCTCATCAATGTCTCATAATTATAAATGTTTAACACTATGTGATAATGACAGACAATGTTTGTGATAATACCACAGTTTTACATATGCTATTAAGTTATGTTCACATTATTGCCACTCACATATTACAGTACAATTTTTWAAAAGTCATTGAGATTATGTCCTTTTTTATGTATGACAAATTATATTTTCCCTTTCTAACGATCAAGGGAGGGAATATAATATATTTTCCATATATTCCGGGAAAATTGGAGGGATTTTATTTGGGAACTCCCTTCCCTGGGATTCCCAATCTAACCCTAACTGTATTAAATAAAACATGTGTTTTGATTATTTTTATTATAAAAATAATAGTCGACTAGTACAGACATTTAGTACTATTTTATATATAAACTCTAGTATTGAAATAGACATTCGACTAGTTGTATATAAATGTAACAAAACTATTGACAGCATATAGAGTGTTAATCTAATTAATGTTTTTGGCGCTATAGTTAAATTTAGATTAGTTTATTTAATTTATATAGTAGATTTTTTTTAAATTTTAATATAAATAAATAAAATAAATATTCTATAATAATTTTTAAAAAATAATTTAATTTTATAATACTATAATTTACAAATGTTAAAAAATAGAATTTAGTTATGCTAAATATTTTTATTTTAAAAAAATTATTATTAGTAGTAAATTTTACATAATTTTAATAATCATAAATAAATAATTATAAAAATTAATAAAAAGTACTAAAAAAATCTATAATACATGCAAAATATAATACATTATAAATATACTGTATATTAAATTAAAAACCTTTTAGTTGAATACTACAGTATTAAACTTATAGTCTATAATACTGTACATACAGTACAGTATATAAAGAATATTTAATACAATAGTTATTATAAATTAAAATAAATACATTACGGTATATTGTTTTTATTATTTTGGATATTTTTAAACAAATTTTTATACAGTATATGATATTACTGTATAAAGCATTGATATATTACATTAATAGTTATTAAAAGTAATTAAAATCTAACTCATGAATAAAATTGAAATATCTAAAGATTTACTTAAGTAAATATACAAAAAAATAATTACTTCAATAAATAAATTATAATCCGGTTCATGGATTAATTTATGATTATAATAGAAATAATAGATAAACAAAAATGCATAAAATGTGAAAAATTTTAGTATAATTTACTGTATTTAATATTTATCTCTAAAAACAATTTGTATTTTAGTATTATAATATATATATATACTGTATATTAATTTATTAATTAGTTTTTTAAAATGAATAAATTATCAAATATATGTATATTAAATGCTATAATAATTAATTTCAATTTAATTAATATGTTATCAATAATTAGCAATAATATCAACAACACAAGTAAGTTATAAGTTTTTTTAAACTTTATCAAAATTTAAATAACWATTTTTTTTGATATTTTTTCAAACTATTTAGGTATCAATGAGATCGATACTGATAGTAATTATTACAATATTAGTAAACCTATGATTGAAATCAACAAAAATGTTAAGAAAACATTGGAAAAAAAATTTTTTTTTTGACAACAATAATAATTACTATAATGATAGTAATCGGTTAGAAAAATTTACTCAAATTTATATATATATATATATAATTGATATAAATATATTATTAATTTTATAATATAAAAATATAATTTTGATATAAAAACAAAATATTTAAATTCAAATTTGTTTATAATAATAATAATTTTATATCTGTCAAAAAAAATTTATAAATAATTAATTAATTTTTTTTTCATATATTAATAGTGATTAATATGTTTATTAATTATATTATTTTGTCTTCTTTTTCATTGGCAATAATTAGCACTGATTTATATAAATCACAACCGATGGCTATCGGATCACTAAGTAGTAGTAGTAGTAGTACTACTACTACTACTACTACTACTCCTAAATCTTTGCCAACGATGTCTGTGTTGTCCATTCCGACCAAACAAGAGATCAACAAAATTGTTAAAGAAATACAAATTAATTGTAAGTTATATTTTTTGAAAGTATAATAAAATAAATTTATTAAATAATCAATTATATACTAAATAATATCTAAATAAATATTTTATCATTTATTTTAGCTAATGTTAAAAACAATGGATTTTATAATAAGATTGCAAATATTTGGTGGAAAATAGTCAAAACTGATTGGAAATTGCGGCCATTCATAGAGGCCGGTGCTGTTATTGTCTGTGAAGATGGTATGTCCGCAATTAATTTGCCGAAATTAGGACAAACCGGATGTAAGGCAATACAGGCAACTATAGATCAACTGAGGGTTGAATCACTTAATCGGGATCTATTGCAATGCAAACGGGAAGCCCTTTTATATAGGGCTAAGTTTATTGCTATCAATAGACGTATACATAGAAACCATAATATTTTAATAAACAATGATTTTATGGATGAAATTGAAATTCCTGAGAAAGAATTATAAATTTATTTATAAAAAAATAATTAGTTTTATTTATATTTCAATTATTATTATTATATTATAAAAAATTTCATAAATTCTTAGTTTTTAAAAAAAAAAGTTTTGCACAAAAAATATTAATAAATTTGTTAATCGATTTTATTTATTTTTGTTGTTTAAGTAATGTATTTTTAAATTGTTGTGTACGGAGTGGTGGCGTTCAATACACTGTTAGCTACAAACTGGACAGTCGTGTTTGGCGCCGACCGCTCCAATTCAAACACTACCAATGAGTTTGTYATCGGATATGGTTTAAACAGATGTCTGGGTGTATACAATGTCAGCTGTGGACCAACAGTCCAATAGCGGCCCAAATTGAAACCATTCAAAAATGCCAGTCCTTTACGCCAACCGTCCAAACGTAGGAATGAATCCAATGGTAGTGTCGAGTCGTTCGGCAAAACAAATTCAGTCATAAAAAATGTAGGAATTCTGTCGACAGAAGTATAGTTAGTGTCGGATAACAAAGTAGTCGTACTATTGGTGGCAATGCTAGCGATATATTGTTGCCAATCACTGAATAATAGATAGTGTGACCAATCTTTTAGTATAACCGGTCCTAATGTAACATTTGCTGTGATTCCCTGTATTTTAGAAATATTTCTATAATATGTTTAATTAATTATTTTTAATTAATATGTTTTACTTTTAATTCATTAATTTCTTTGCCATAAGCAGGTCGTCCTTGATTTTCAACAAATATATCCAATTGTGACCCAAACTCGATATTCAATCCCAATTTGTATAAACCTTGGCTACGGCTCAAAGTTCCCGCATATATCTATTAATTGATTAATTAATATTTTATTATTGATTAATTGTATATAAATATAATGAAACTATTAAAATAATGACAACAAAATTACTATACCTTATCGACAAACACCTGAGCCCTATCTCTGAGTCCATTAACTGTAAGCACTGCCGGATCTGATGAATGGATCGTAACTGTTGTTGAATACAATATGAATCCCTGTCTTAGTCTTAATGATTCAAATGTTTTCGGATAAACCGATTCAATTGGTTTTAACGCTGTCATCACATCATARAGATTGAGAAACGCTTGCATTACAAGCGGTTTGGTTTGCATTTTTGGTKCSGGTTTGGGTAATGTTCCGACTGGTAGTGTTAGATACTTATTAAAATAATAAAGTTGTGTTTAATAATAAAATAATTAAAAATTTTAATTTAATAATACTTTTCCGATAACATTGCGGACGTCATAGTACTTAGCGGTCGGATCGCCCGATTCGGTGAGTGGAGCATCAAAGTCATAGCTTGTAATACACGGGTCATATCTATTGTCATCAATGTTGGCGCCACTAGTAAACCCAAAATTAGTTCCGCCATGCATTGGATATCTAACCCMYCAATATATAGATATCAAGGTCCTCATTAGATTTGATGTCTAATCACTTAAATAAACACTTACAAAGTTACCGATGCGTTCAGTGCCAGCATTTGGTCTAATGTTTTGCAGACGGCAGCCGAAGTGGCCGTCGAGTGTGTCTCTTCCCAGTGATCWATCCAACCGGTATAGTACTCGGAGTTGACRTACGGTCCGTACAGTTGGTGTACGCGTTGGGCGACAAACGACTTGTTCACATCACTGCCCGATCCGAAGTCGACCGTTGCGAACACGTTATCAATTTTACCGCATTTCAAAAAGTAGTCATCGTTTCCGTCAGTTGTATACAATAGGACATCACTTCCCAGATATTTGTGGTGTAAATCTCGCAGATGTGTCACATAATTGAAATCGCAGGCAAAATAACTTCCGTATTCATTCTCKATCTGAACCATTATAACGGGTCCACCATTTTTGTAGAGCATCGGTATCAACATTGGCAACAAACGGCCGTACCATTTGTCTACTACAGTCAGATATGACGGATCCGATGTCCGAAGTTTCATATTTGGATTTTTTGAGAGCAGCCAATAGGGTAGACCTCCCTGTATTAGAAACATACATAAAGAAAGTATTATATTATATTAATATAATAGATTAAAATTGATTGATTAATACCATATCTCTTTCGGCATCAATGAACGGACCGGTTCTTACGAGCACCAGTAGGTCCAACTCGTTGGCCAACTTCAGGAAACYGACTAAATCGTTGTCGCCATCAAAATGATACATTCCTTCCTCCGGTTCGTGTGAATTCCACTCAACATATCTTTAATTATTATAATTTTTTTATATAAAAAAATGAATTTATATTTCTATTTAAAATATTATAATAATCTAAATTAATAATTATACATTTGTATGGCATTAAGTCCAGCCATTTTGTATTTAGTCATCCGATCTTTCCATAAAACTGCCGGCACTTTAAAGTACTCGAGCTGTCCGGCAACGTATCGAAAGGGTTGACCATCTTTTAGGAACTGATTGGTTGTGTCATCAATAATGAAACTTCTGTTAACACTATATCCAATTTCAGATGACTATATAATATATATAATAGAAAAATCATTTTTATTCACAAAAAATATAAAATTAAATAATTATAAGTTATATGTTACTTACAATTTGTACACATAGTAGTAATAGTAATGAAAATAATAATAATATTAGTTTATTTGATGACATTATTTAAGTAAAAGTTTATTTATTTATTTATTTATTATTATTATAAATTATTTAATAAAAAATAAATATACTATTATATGGCAGATTTTTTTTTATTTTGCTCAAATAGTTAATCTAAACACTTTACATGATGTATAAGTAAACATTAATRAGATAAATAAATATAACYTAATAATAAATATTATTATTAATTATCAATTTTTTCAAAAAATACTTATACATAATTAGATTAGCTAAAGTTCAACAAGATACATTTTATTATTACATTTATCTAATTAAGTTATTTAGTATTATTGTATTTCAGTAACAATTGGTTATTTTTTAAAAAAAATAGGTTATATTAGTTTATAATCTATAATATTTTTGATTAATTAATTATAAAAATAATTATATATTATGATAACTGATATAAAATAAATAAAAATTTATTTAAACAGATTTATCAATAGTATAATAATAATTATTATTATAATAAACTTCTAAACGATAAATATTTGCAAAACATTTAATGGCAGTGTAATTGTATTGATTGTATTTTACTATTAATTAGTTATAAACTATTAATAACTTTTACTATTAATAGTAATTATATAATACTAATTATTGTTTATATATATAGAAAATAGACAATATTAACAAAAAACTAAATTTATAATAAAAACTTTATTATTGTGAATAAAATATTTAATTAATTGCTTTAATGAAACAACAATTTTATTRCATAATTGTATTGTATAGTAGTTTATCTAAAATTTAAGTTAAACTTATTATCAATTAAAATTTACAAGATTAAATTAAAATTATTATTTAAGATTTAAATAAATAGTCTGTTAATGTGCTGATTTAGCCAAATCAACATTTAGTATTAGATCCCTGGTAACATTTCTAATAATAATAAAAACATAATTAATTTTAAAAAATTTAATACAGTTATGATAAATAATGTAATTATATTGTTAAAATTGTATCTTTATATAAACATACAGTATTTTAATTTTATCATCAAAAAAGTATAATTTTTTATAATAATTTTATAATTATATTATTATTATACATATTTTATAAATTAATTTATTTTTATTAAATCCCAAAAATAACCCAAACTTTAAATTTAACAGTTATTATATATAATTAATTTATCAAATATATTCATAATATACTATATATATAAATTTATTGTACACTTTTATATTTTTATAAGTTAAATAAGTTATGTGATTAAATAAAAATAAAAATTTTTATTTTATAAAAGTAATTGATGTTCACTTGTAAACGGAATGGTGGCGTTCAATACACTGGTGGCCACAAACTGGACAGTCATGTTGGGAGCCGATCGCTCCAATTCAAACACAATCAATGTGTTTGTCATCGGATAGGCATTGAACAGATGTCGGGGTGCATACAGTGTCAGCTGTGGTCCAACAGTCCAATAGCGGCCCAAATTGAAACCATTCAAAAATGCCAGACCTTTGCGCCAACCGTCCAAACGTAGGAATGAATCCAATGGTAGTGTCGAGTCGTTCGGCAAAACAAATTCAGTCGTAAAGAATGTAGGAATTCTGTCGACAGAAGTATAGTTAGTCTCGGATAACAAACTGGTGGACAAAGTGGTGATAAAGTTAGTGATATATTGTTGCCAATCGGTGAACAATAGATAGTGTTTCCAGTTTTTTAACACAACCGATCCTAATGTGACATTTTCGGTGATACCCTATATTAAAGATTTTTTTTAAATATATAAATATATTTAAAGTGGTTTATATTTTTTTTACTGTACTTTTGATTCGTGTATTTCAATTCCATAGTCAGGTCGTCCYTGATTTTCAACAAATATATCCAATTGTGACCCAAACTCGATATCCAATCCCAATGTATATAGACTTTGTGTTCGGCTCAAAGTTCCCGCATATTTCTATGAATTGATTAATATTTATTTTACTATAAAAAACTTTCTAAACATGTAGTCTTAAAAATATCATTTGATTTTAAAAACCACTATTACCTTATCGACAAACACCTGAGCCCTATCTCTGAGTCCATTTACTGTAAGCACTGCCGGATCTGATGTATGGTTAGTAACTGTTGTTGAGTACAATATGAATCCCTGTCGTAGTCTTAATGATTCAAACGTTTTCGGATAAACCGATTCAATTGGTACTAAAGTTTCGATCGCATCATAGATATTGGCAGTCGATTTCATTAAAAGCGGTTTGGTTTGCATTTTTGGTTCGGGTTTGGGTAATGTTCCGACTGGTAGTGTTAGATACTTATTGAAATAAAAAAAACATAAATAAAGTTATGTTTAATAAAAAAATAATAAAAATTTTTAATTTAATAATACTTTTCCGATAACATTGCGGACGTCATAATACTTAGCGGTCGGATCGCCCGATTCGGTGAGTGGAGCATCAAAATCATAGCTTGTAATTAACGGATAGAACCTATTCTTATGGATATTAGATCCGGCGGTAAACCCGAAACTGGTTCCGCCATGCATAGGGTAACTGAGCAAATATTTATATATATATACATATATATATATTTTAAAAAACATTTAGATAACTAGTTATATAGTGTATCATATAATTCAAACTGTATACCATATCAATATTATATTATCACTTACAGTGTTACCGATGCGTTCAATGCCAGCATTTGATCCAACCCTTTACAAATGGCCGCCGATGTTACCGTCGAGTGTGTCTCTTCCCAGTGATCAATCCAACCGGTATAATACTCAGAGTTTACGTACGGCCCGTACGGTTGATGGGATCGTTGGGCGGCAAACGATTCATTAACATCTCTTTCCGATCCGAAGTCGACCGTTGCGAACACGTTATCAATTTTACCGCATTTCAAATAATAGTCTTCGCCTCCATCGGTAGTATAAAATAGGACATCACTTCCCAGATATTTGTAGTGTAAATCTCGTAAATGTTTCAAATAATTGAAATCGCAGGCAAAATAACTTCCGTATTCATTCTCGATCTGAACCATTATAACGGGTCCACCATTTTTGTAGAGCATCGGTATCAACATTGGCAGCAAACGATCGTACCATTTGTCTACTTCAACCAAATATGACGGATCCGATGTCCGAAGTTTCATATTTGGATTTTTCGATAGCAGCCAATAGGGTAGACCTCCCTGTATTAGAAACATATAAATTAAAAAAAGTATTATTAAAGTATTGGTAATAGATTTAATGATTAATTAATACCATATCTCTTTCGGCATCAATGAACGGACCGGTTCTTACGAGCACCAGTAGGTCCAACTCGTTGGCTAACTTCAGAAAACCAATCAAATCGTTGTCGCCATCAAAATGATACATCCCTTCCTCCGGTTCGTGTGAATTCCATTCAACATATCTTTAAATTATTTTATTATTTTAAACAAATTTTAATTTTATATACTTCTATGAAACATATAAAATAATTAAATAAAATGATAATACATTTGTATGGCATTAAGTCCAGCCATTTTGTATTTAGTCAACCGATCTCTCCATAAAACTGCCGGCACTTTAAAGTACTCGATATGACCGGCGATGTATCGAAAGGGTTGACCATCTTTTAGGAACTGATTGTTTGTCTTATCAATAATGAAACTCTTATTAACAGTAAATCTGGTTTCATATGACTACAAATACAGAAAAAATATGATAATTATAATAAAGAAAATTATTTTAATAATAATAAAAATAATAAATTTTATTAATCTTACTAATGATACAAATAGTATAATCAATAGTGAAAATAATAATAATTTTATTATAGATAAAAACATTGTTAGTACTGTTGTTTTGTGATTGAAATCTACATTTAAATAACTAATTAGTTAACAAATAATATAATACTAGTCTATAATAATAAATCTATAAATTGAAATTAAATTTGTAATTTGTTAAAATAAATTTGAATAATAAATTTTGTTACTAACCTACCAGTTAAATATATTGTCAAATATTATATATAAAATTAAAATTATTTGTATTATTAATAACAATAACAATTTAAAAAGTTGTATGTAAATTATAAACAAAATTATATATAGTATATAAATTATAATATCAAAACGTGATATTTTTAGATAAATATAATTATTTTAAACATTTCATAATTCATAACAATAATTAATATCAAATTTAGTCAATTTAAATTTATATAACTATCATTATTTACTATTAAAAATTGGTATTATTTAAGTTTAAATTTAATACAATATAATGTAAAATCAACGTATGTAAAATCAACGTTATAATATATATATATATATATATATAAACACACATTTATTTATAAAAATTAAGTTACTTAAAATTGATTTGAAAAATATTTACATTAATTATTTAAATATGTCTATTTAAATAATTGATATAAATCAAAAATATAAATTTTCATAATTTTATAATAAATATTAATAAATAAAATATTTTTTCAAAACAATTATTCTAATAATATGTTATTTAACTAAAATAATTTTTAACAAATTAATGAAAACAAAAAAAAATTATATATTTGAAATGTTTAGAAATTAATTTTTGTTATTACTTTACCCGGCTAAAATTCTAAAAACATTTTTAAAAAAAATATTTATTAAAACTTAGAAATTTTATCTTTTTTCTAATATGTAAAATGCAAAAAACTTTTTGATTTCAGATAGAAATAAAATGTTTTTTTATATGACTTACCTTTTTTTCTTAACCTTAATATATTTATATATGATTTACTAATTAATCAAATAGTTTTTTAAACTTTCAACTACTGTACAAATAATTATTACAAAAATTACAATTATTTTTTTATTAATTAATTAATATCATAAATAATTAAGTTAGAATCATAATTACAATTTATAAAATATTTATTTTAGTTATTTTTCATATAATTTTTATCATTTAAATTTATAATTTTATTTATTTATTAGAATAGTTAACACATATAATATAAACAATCAAAAAATAATATTTAAAAAAATAGTTATTATTATTTTGTTGTTGTTGTTATTGAACAAAAATTTTTTTTTAAATTTTTTATATAGCAATAGTCCCCTAAAAAAATAAAAGTATAGTTTGTTTATGTTTTTATACAACAGTATGTATGAGACAATCATAACAACAACAACAATGTTGTCATAAATTATTGTAATTTTTTTGTTTGTTTTTTGTTTTATTAAGTGATTTAATTAGTGATCGAAATGATAGTCAACATTGAAGTCAATGATCTTTTAGATGAACTGATGGCTGAAAACAAACGACTCGTCAATGAGTTGTTGTTTGCAAACAATTGTTTGAATTTATTGAATGAATTGAAAAGTTATTTACAGATAATTCACGCGAAATACAAGACAATGATTGCTGAGGAAGACGTCAAACAATGGCAGATATTAGAAGAATCAGTGGACACAACTGTCGATGAATACCATCGATGCAAACAACAAATCAAGAGTACATTGAAAAGTAATGTCAATCAAGAGTCAAGAAGTGATCGACAATTACTGACATCAGAAACAAGTCTAACAACAGCTGATCCGCAAACGATTACTAAACAAAAGAGTAGACAACAGCGGATCCAATCGGCAAATAAACCGACAAACGGACTGTACGTTTGCCGACACAATGATTGCGGCAAACAATTCAAAACACGTATAAGATTTACAAAGCATATGACAGTTCACTTCAAACAACACAAGTGGCCGAACAACACGTGTCACGTGTGCGACAAGACATTCAAATTTAATAGTTTTTTAGCGACACATATGAAAACACGAGACGACAACAACAACAAACATAAGACATTATCATTGAATGAAAATAATGGTAACAATGATCGCCAATCGGATCAATCTATACTATTGTTGTTAAATCGAAACAATTTCGATGATAAACAACAACGATATTTGTGTCCATTTGCCGAATGTAACCGAAAATATGTATTTAAAAGTGATCTGAAAAAACATTATCTTCTAACTCATTATAAACCCGATTCTAAGCCATTTGTTTGTCAGATATGCGGACAGGGATTCAAACGAAACTGTATTCTCAAAGATCATATGGCTATACATGACGTCAATCGTCAGAAGACCTACCGGTGCCAGTACTGCGACAAATGTTTCTTCAAATCTTATGCACTAAAAGTTCACCAAAACTTTCGACATTTGTTGACAAAAACATTTAACTGCGGTATCAATGACTGCCGAGAGATGTTTGTCTCGACTCGTCAGCGATCACTTCACAGACAATCTGTCCATCAGATGACGTATGCACTGAAACGACAACCGGATAGACATTCGTGTCAATGGCCGGGCTGTGACTACCGGTGCGCTACAACCGAACAACTGGTAAATCATACGCGTGTTCATACCGGTGAGCGTCCGTATGCCTGCCAATGGCCTGAGTGTAACAAACAGTTTCGTACGAAAGCCGGTTATCGGCGACACGATATTTGTCATAAAAATTTGAAACCCTTTGCGTGTCAATGGCCTGGATGTGACTATCGGGGCAATAGTGCGTCAAACTATTACATACACATTAAGATACATAAACGACAACAACAATCAGTAAATAGTGATAATAAAAAATAGTTTAGTATTCATCAAAAAAGTTCAGATCATATACTGTCCTAACGATTGGCCACTGAATCCAAAAGTGATTACAACTCATACTATTTGCTCTATTAATCTGTCATTTCCTTAACAAACCGGACAATTGAATCAATTAAATATAAATAATTTTTTTTCTCTGACAAGACTATTAAGAATTTTAAAATATTTGTGTTTTTATTATAATATTTTATCCTAAAAACATAAAAGTGTATGGTATGGGTACAGTAGTTTAAAAACATAGTATTTTTTATTTGTAACCCTTATTGTCTTTGTCTATAAACCGTGCGCCCATTTCTCCGGCCAACATCGCGGCTGCATTGGTGGCGGCATTGATTATCTCCGGATAAATGGATGCGTCGACAACACGTAATCGGTGGATACCCTTAACACGCAATCGCGGATCTACTACAGTGTCTGTTCGGCGCGGATCACCCATACGACAGCTGCCCACTGAATGAGTCTCAGCGCCGGCCCAATTGTCAATCAAACAGTCAATATAAGTGTTGCATCGATAAATGGGAATATCTGGACAGTACTGACACGGAGGCATAGGCAGTATAGAGGGTCGGACGTAACGACCAAAACTGGTTGTTTCGACAAAATGAAACGTATCGGCGATTGCTTCCCGAAGACGAAGTCGATCGCTTGGGTTGGCCAAAAAATTCGGATCAATTAGCGGCTGATCGTTAATAGAGCTGGTGTTAAGTCTAATCGTACCGCAGCTAACAGGACGTACCAGTCCTGTACCCAACGATACATAATTGTTTGAAATCATTTGTCGAGAATATCTTTTTATTTGTCTCTCCAATGTTTTACTGTTTGCCATAACATTGGAACTAATGGCCGGTTCGCTACCTTTTTTATTAACAATTAAATACATATAGATATCCGGATATGTGGTATCGTTATTGTATTTGGTTGACCAATACATCATAGTGTTTGGCTTCTCTGACATGAGCCCTTTACCCTGGACAGTAACCTGGTACAATTGACTAATATTGTCTAATGAAAACATAGGTTCGGCTAAATTCGGTTGACTTAACCGAAAGTCAATATTAACAGAAATTTGTTCACAATAATTGTTACCGACGGGGATATCGGCAAATACATGACCGATACCTTTGTTTTTCAAATGCTGTTTTGGTCCCACACCCGATAGCATCAGTAACTGTGGACTGGCTATTGAACCTGAATTTTTAAAAAATGTCAGTTAATGTATGTGTGTATGTGTTTATGTTATACTGTAGTTTTAATAAAATTTATTAAAATTATAATATTATTTGTAATTATTATTTGATTTTTAAAAAATTATTATTAAAATAAAAATATATTTAAATTCTACATGTTATTAAAATTATATACAGTATTTACTACTAAAGAAAATAATAATTAAATGTAATTTTTTTTGCTTAACTAATTAATAATGGTTTAGTTATAATGTAAAATAAGTTTTTGTTTTTTATTGTATAATCTATTTTTTATWTAWATTACATTACCGGCTGATATGATAACCTCGCGGTTAGCCCTTATTCGGTGTTTACGATTGCTTTTTACAAATACAACTCCCTGTGCTCGAGGAGTATTGTGTTGATCTGAGGACGAGGAGATTAATATTTTTTCGACCACTGCTCCGGTAACTATAGTCAAGTTGGGACATAAACCACTTTCAAGGTAAGCATTATTTGTCGACGATCTAATTCCCCGTGCATTTGTTGACTGTCCAATTGTAAATCCAGTTTGATTTTGACCATTAATGTCAATTGTTTGTAGACCCCATTCAAGTGCTGCTTTGGCTTGTTTTAATTGTATAGCAAATGGTTGAGTAGGTGTGGACACACTTATTGGACCTGATCTTCCGTGATATTGATCGCTAACACCGGGATCGGTATTATTCTCCATAAGCTTAAACACTGGCAAAACGCTTGCGTAATCCCAACCAATGGCACCATATTTAGCTGCTATAGTGTCATAATATTTATGATTACCTCTAAAAATAATTAATTATTAATGAAATGTATATATATATATATATAAATAATAATCAACAACAATCAAAATTAGAGAACATAAAAATTATTTTTTTAAAATACAAAATATTTAAAAATTAATTACATACCTATTGTATAGCATTTCATTGACCGATGAGGAACCGCCTAACACTCGTCCCCACAAATTAACAATTGTGCCGTTGTTTGCATATGAATGACCGGTATATTTTTGTGGCAGTAATTGATATGAACGTAGACTTTGTTTATCCAATTCAACATAAGTGTAGGCGAGCGCCGGTATATCGTCGAACAATGCGTTGGGTGAACCGCCCGCTTCCAACAGTACAACATCGGCGCCCCATTGAGACAGACGACAAGCGACAATAGCACCGGCACTGCCGGCGCCCACAACTATATAATTGTATGTGGATTTTGGTGGTAATGGTGTACGATTGGCCACTGTATTGTGCAATTGCTGCCGATTCCATATAATGGTAAACACCATATATAATTGTGTAGAAGTTATTATCATTTTTATTGTTTGTTTGTATTTTAGTAACAGTATTTTAACAGTAATCAATACTATAGTATTTTAGAAAATTAAATATTAGTTATTACGTGTTTGAGTTTTATTGAAATTTAAGATTCATTATCGTGATTAAGTGTTAAAAAATATTATTTTATACATTACACTACATTAATAAGCAAAACGTACATTAAATAAAAGTTAGTTTCAAATATTTACAGAATATRATATYTATAATTTTAATATATTWTTTTAAAAAACAATAATTATAAAACTTAAGGAAATATAACTATAAAAAATACAATTAAAATTTTTAAATTATATTTTATAGTATAATTTATAGTAATATTTGAAAAATTAGATTTTAACATTAAATTACTACTTACAAATAGTAAAAATAAAAACATTTAAAACAATAATATAATAAAACATGTTTATTATTTGAAAAATAAAGAAAAATTGATTTTAAATATTGATTAACTAAATAATGCCGGCATCTCTGGCCAGTGTATAAAATATTGACGATTTGTTTGCAAGTAAAACATCCGGTGAGTCAAACTCGGCTATCCGTCCTCCGTTGAGAACTAACACTCGATTGTTGTCCATAATTGTATTGATTCGGTGGGCAATTGTTAGGACAGTACATGACATGAACTCCTGTCTAATGGTTTGTTGAATAAGTGCATCGGTTTCGACGTCTACGGCAGCCGTGGCCTCATCGAGGATAAGGACACGAGTGTTGCGGAGCAGAGCCCGAGACAAACATATGAGTTGTCGCTGACCAACACTCAGATTATCACCCGATTCGGCGATCGGATAGTCGAGTCCGGATCCGCTCGACATTACAAAGTTTTTCAGATGCGAGTGCTCTAACACTGTCCACAAATGGTCGTCAGAAAACTTACCGAACGGATCCAAATTGAATCGAATGGTTCCCGAAAAAAGTATCGGTTCTTGCGGTATGATTGTCAACCGTGACCTCAAATCATGAAGACTTAATTGTGATATATCTATGCCATCGATGATAATTCGTCCAATCGATGGCTCAATTAGTCGAAACAGAGCCAAAGTTAAGGATGATTTTCCGGCACCGGTTCGGCCAACAATACCTATCTATTTATACAATTTTTAAAAAATACAAAATTAATAGATAAACAAATATCTATATTTCTATATATATATATATATATATATATATATATATGTATATAAGTATTTAAAGTATATAAATGTAAAATTTTTAACTTACTAATTAATTAAATATTTGTAAAAATTAACAATATAATTTAGATAAAATAAGTATCTTAATAAAGTATCTTAAAAGTATCATCTTATAATTTATATATTCAATAATTATTATAACTAATCTGCAATCAGTAGTACTAGGTTAATTAATAAGTTTTCTAATTATATGATAATTATATTAGATTAAAATAATAAAAATAAATAATTAAATAAAAATAAACTTAAAATTTAATGATAAATATATTTTTTTAAAGTATACTTTTTCATTTGCTTTGATATTAACTTTAAGATTGTTAAGCACTAAATCCAATCCCTGTCTATATCTGGTGCTATAGCTATCAAAACGTATGCAACCCATGTCTGGCCAGTTGTCCGGCAAATCGGCAATTGATTGACAATCGCTTTCTAATTCCAGATTAGTATATTCATCAACCCTTTCAATTGATACCATATTATATTCAAATAAGATAACTGTTTTGATAAAATCTTCAATAATTGGCATAATTAGTACAGCAATACTAAGTGTTAGACCAATATCGCCGCCAGTTAGCCGTGTTTTGTTGATTATGGCAAACAGTGCCGTAAAAAATACAAAACCAGTACTCAAAACGGATAGACGCATCTGTAGCCAACTGTTGGCCACTGCGTTAGGATAGAGACACCGCTGATTGGTATCGGTTTTAGTTTCAAAATCACTGATAAAACGTTTGTCACAATCGTAAGCTCTAATACATGACAAACCGGTTAGAGTTTCAAAAACAAATGCATTTATATTTGATCGGGTAATCGACTCTAATCTGTTTTAGTTTATAAAATAAATTAATAATAATAATAATACAATTTTTAAAAATAAGTTATACCTTTTTAATTGACGTGATGTTTTCATGTATATTATCTAAATTAATTAATTTGTAAAAAAATAATAATAATAATGTTTATATTTATTTCTAATAACATGAATAATAAACAAAATTTATATTATTGAATATATTTGAAAAAATATAACTATAAACTATTTTTGTTTGTTTACTTATCATGCAAATTTAGATTAAATAAATTAGAAATTTTAAAGTAAATTATAAAAATTTCATCTAAACCTAAAAGATCTATAGGTAAAATTTTCAATAAATTATTTAAAATAATAACAACTATATTAATTAGTTTTATATAACAAACCTGTACTAATAATATTACTATTAGTTCAACAATTAATACAATTAAAAATAATGGCGTTTTAATTGTTATGTTAATTAATGATCCAATAATCAAAAATAAGTTGTTAAAAGTTAATCTAAAAAATACAAATTTATAAACAATTATATTATATAATAATTGTAATATAATATATATATTGTTTGAATATACAAAATGTTTTGGTATAATTGTGTGTCCAATATATCCATATCTTTAGCAAATCGATTGATTATACGTCCCATTGGTGTTGTATCGAAAAAGTTGATCGACACGTGCATAATACGTGCCAGCATTTGATCGTGCAATTGATAGGAACCGCGTTTTGTTATCAATGATAATATGAAAACACATACAATAAAACATACAATTTCGGCCACAATAATCAAACCAAATATTAGTAAATAATATGAACTATTGTCGGACGTGGCGTTTGATGTCCAAACAGTTAACCAATTATTTATATAAATATTTAGACCGCAACTAAACATTAGAAATATTAAAAACAATATCGATAGTATTGGCGAAACACATTTGGCGTATTTTATATATACCTATAAATAAATATAATTAAAAATAAAAATATTGTACATGTATAAATATCAATAATCTATTTATAATTAATTAATTATAAAAATAATTACTTTAAACTTTATTAGACCTGATTCTACAGTCTCTTCGCTAATTAATTGGATATTATTAATTGAATCCAATAATTCATTGTTTAAACTTTTATTAATTAATTCATTGTTTTTTCGTTTATTCTCACTAATGGTTTCGGGTTTATTTGAAAAATATTTTAAATTTTCGTAAATATTTTCATCAGTAGTTTCAGTGTATTGTAAAAATTGTTGATAACTATTAAATGTTTCGGTATAACCATCTTTGACAACAACAATAAGATCGGCATTTGGTAACACAAACAGTTGATTTGTAGCCAAAATACGGGTTTTATTTTTTAAAATACCGGTATTGGAGTCCAATATATTGGTTACAATATGTTGACTAACATGACTGTCCACTAATGAAATTGTTAAAATAATTTATAAATATAAACAATTAATTAATTGATTGATTGATAAATATAAACATAACAAATTGTAAACTGTATTTAGTAGATACCGGCAGATAATGGATCGTCGAGTATGTATAGATCGGCACCAGAATAGACAGCTCGGGCTAAACTGAGTCTCTGTTTTTGACCGCCGCTCAGATTTACACCCTTTTCGCCGATCTCTGTCTCATCTCCTCCGGACAGTTGACTTAAGTCCTGTCTGAGCGCACAGTTATCTATCACTCTATCATACAGTTCTCTATCAAATGTTTTTCCAAATAAGATATTATTTTTCAGTGAAGTATTTTGAATCCACGCTTCCTGTGTTACGTAAGCCGTTTGTAGGCCATGTCTAACATTGACGGTGCCGTCGATGCGATCCATTTCGCCGATTATTGCCGACAATAGAGAACTTTTGCCCGAACCGACCGAACCGACAATTACCACAAACATGCCGTCAGTTATATTTAAATTGATATTATTAAGTGTATATTTTTTATTTTCATTATTATTATCATTATTATTAAATTTTTCCCATGAAAATGTTGCATTATTTAAATTAATTAAATAATTTTTACTGTTATTAAATGAAATATACTTTTTATGTTCCGATAATTTAAGAAATTCATTTATACTTTTAAATGAAACAAAAATCTAAAATAATATAAATATATATAAATTATTAATAATAAAATACAAAGTAAATTAAATATATTATATATTAAGATATGTTAAGACATTAAATTTGTTAAAATTTACTAACAAATTAAAAGCTGATCATTATTTTTACAAAATTAATCATAATTAATATGAATGTTATTTTTTATGTAATTAATTTACAATATAGATTATTTTTTTAAAAAAACTTAAATAATCACATTATTGTTTTAATAAATATGAAAGTAAATACTGTAAAAAATATTTCTATATTATTATTATATAGTATAACAATAATATTAAGTGGATTTTTATAAAATTATTTTGTATAAATAGTTAATTATTATTTTTATTGTTATTATTATAATTATTTATATTAGTTTAATATATATTAATTATTAATAATAGATTATAATTAATACTAATATGAATATCATTTACCAAAATAGTTGAATAATAGATTTGTGTCATTTTGTAGAGACATTCATTAATAAATGTAAACAACGGTAACGATACAAATATAGATTGGGCGGTAATATGATTGCCACCGTAAATGGCCGCAAATATGCCAAACGTGGCCAACTGTGCCAACAACGGTACCAATCTTGATATACAGACATTGATGGCAAACCATAGGTTGGCSCCAATCATRTGTTTCAATTCGCTTTTGCGTATCTTATCTACCAATTGAATAAATGGCTTTTCCCACGCGTAAAACTGTCAAAAAAAATTATATTTTTATTATTAAATAATTTTTTTATTATAGCAAATTTGAATAACTTGAATAAATAGAGATAAATATTTTTCTTAATTAATATATAGATAATAATGGGGGGGGGATTATTATTCAAATTAGTTAAATTTTTTTATATATATTTATATACAATATTTACTTTTAAAACTTTAATTCCGTTCAATATTTGGCTAATTATGTTAATTCTGTGATCTCTGTCTAACATTTGTTTATTAATAGTGCGTTCATTAAATATAGATATTATTACTGTAAATGGTATGGATATCAACAAAATTAATAAACTAACAAATGATGAAACACCCAATTGTTTGTATAATATATATAATAAAACAGCCATTTGTATCGGCAATACAAAAATATATGGTATCCATTGAAGATAATCTTTTTAAAAATGATATTTAAAAAATGATAATATAATATTAATATATAAAATTATTAATAACTTAAAATTATTACTATTGTTCTTAGTGTACAAATAATTAATTTAATAAAATAGTAGAAATTAAAATATAATTAAGTTTACTATTTTAATATCTACAATAATAATTAATATTATTTTAATAATTGTATAAATTCAATTAAATCAATTATGAATATTATTTAATTAAAATCATATTTAATTACCAACAACACGATGACAATCAACTGTAATTATATTATTGATTTCACCGATTGGTTTAACACGTTTAGCACTGTTGCTTAAAACCAATGATTTACGATAAACAGCTGCCATTAAGGCTGATCTTAATCTAAGAGCTGAATATAAATAATTAAATGACAATAAATTTATAGTACATTTATTTATTTTAAAACAAAAAACATTATCAATTTAACTATAAAAATAAAATTAGTTTTATGTAATTTTTAATTAAATGAATTAAATAAATTTATTTCGTTAAAAATACTAACCGATTGTGTTAATCGATTCATAATAGTATGAGTTAAGTAATGCATATAATATATTGCAAATAACTAATAATACTGTATATATATATCCGTGCCATTGAGGCTCATCGATATCCTCGATAAAGTCTATTAATAATCTAAATTTAATTAATTAATTAATTAATTAATATTATTTTTCTGATTAACTCTATTTATAAATTAAAACATTTATGAATACAAATTAATTTATATATTTACTTATTAATTAATGGTTGCGTTATTTGTATAACATAGCCAACAGTTAACAGAATAGTCGGTGCAATCATATCCGTGCCATAAGTTTTTAAAATAATAAATACAATATTTTTGTCATAATTTTTTACAAATGCATCATTATTTTCTATATTATATTGTTTTTTATGATTTTTCAAAATATTGAATAAAAAATTATGYTTAATTTGTTTCAAATTAGTTGCTGATGTATTATTATAATTATTACTAAATAAACGTTTATAATTAGACAAACAGCTATCGATTGGACGCAATGACCATAAATGTTGTAATTGTAGACTGGATTTGATGCCATCAATAAATAGTTTGTCGATCCAGTGATAGGTTATCATCGATAGAAATGATGCCTTAATTTTAGGACACAATGTTTTAGGACTTTGATTGTCGACAGTGATGTTATACGTATCATCCGTTTGAGGCAAACAATCGGCAAATGTTGTTATTATTAATAGACATGTTGTCAGTGCTAAATACAGACAACTGATTATCAATTGATAGTTGTTTGTGTCATCAGTCACAGGTGTTTGTGTGGTGGCATAAGTAGCCACTGATAGAGCGGTCACCAGTGTATCGATAAATAGGTATAACCAGACATAACCACTGGTTATAATACCCGATATGCGTTGCATATGAAATACAATACACAGGACTAGTCGTGTTAGGGTCTGTACGGCAGTGGCTATGATGTATGCATTGCTGGGACTACTGTACTGTTTGATTGAATCCGATGACCACTGGGTTTTACGCCACAAACTGATAACAAGTGCAACAAATACACTAATTGTGCTCATTATTGATAACGTTAGACGACTTGTATTATATATATTGTATTTAATTAGTGGGTTTGAACTTTTAAGACAATCAATTAAAATTAATGGTAGACATAACCATAGAAATATACAGGGAATCCATGCAAACCATGTCTCAATCATACATAAGCTTAGATGTGGTGATGTCGTATACCACGACTGATGGCTATCCTATTGTTTAAAGATAATCAAATTAATTAATATCATTTAATATTTAACCCATGGGGAAAGTTTCATAATAAATTCTCTACAATTATTCCGGAAAATAATAAAAATATCTTAATATACATCAATTTATTGTTAGACGGGAACATAAATTTTATATTATTAGAATTTAGTATATATTTGTATATAAATAGTAGAAAAAAGTATCTATAAATATAAAAAAAATAAATAGGAATTCAGTTAATTTAATTACAATTTTATACTAAATATATAATTTGTTATAACATTTGTTTTTTTAAAAAATTATAATAAAATTCGTGGCTTAAGGCTGAATAGGTTACAGTACAAGTAAAGTATTTCCTGGGAATTTCATATATATATATATATATATATATATATATATACTTTTAAGATATAAAACGAGAAAGGAAAATTTTTTAGAAATCCTATCAATAAGTAATGAAATTAAATTTAAATCAATATAATTTATATTTATAGTAGTTTTATTAAAAGTACAGTTGTTTGAATATATATTTAATTTTTTTATAACTATAACTATTGTACTACAGTATTAATATAACTAATGTATAAAATTTTTAATTTAATTATAATTATTTAATAATTGAATACTTACCCATAATTTAGTTTTACAAATATTTTCAAACATTATTTGTTTTTGTTTAATAATAAATATATATTTAAAAAATATATGCTATAGTTATTAAATTATCATTTATTATTAAATCACCAATATTCATATATATACATATACAGTATATATTATAAATTATTATAAAATATATTTATATGCAATGATTAGTATAGAAAGTCATAAACAGCTAGTGTTGGCAAACAATATCTACAGTACAAAACCATAGCATTAATAATACAGTATATATTTTACAATATATTTATGTACATGTATTAAAATTCTACAGTACATGACATAGCAATATAACTATATCTCATAAAATTATTTTTATACTTATAAGTTAATAAAATATTAAATAAAATATTTAATGTTATAGTTAACTGTTATATTTAATGATTTAACAAAAATAAATAAATAAAAATTATTAATTAAATTTATATAAAATATATATTATATTCTTACAATAATAATAATAATAAAATTATAATTTTATTACATTAATTTAATAAATAATAAATTTTAATTTAAAAGTGGCTTCTTAAAAGTATTTATAATTAGTAAATACTGTAATTAATAAAGATAAATTATATAATAACAAAATAATTTTAACAAACAAATAGCATTTATCAGTATAATACCGGAATCTGAATCAAATATAATAAATATAATCAATTATATTATTTGCTCAAGCATCATAAGCATTAGAATAAATAAAAATTAAAATACAAGAAAAATTAATTATAAATCATTATTATATTTTTAATTTTTAAAAAAATATTTAATAAAATTTTATTTATAAATTAATTATAGTTATTTAATAATTTTTTTTGACTAATTTATAATATAGTCTAAAATCAGACTCATGATTAAAAAAAAATATTTAGTAAACTATATTTTCAATATAAAATGAGATAATGTTAACGCTATAGACTATTCTATAGTAAAAATATTAATATATTAAAACATTTTTATTTATTTTTATGATACGGGTTTGATGGGGGGTWAAGTCAGATTTTTTAAAATTTTATATAATAAATGTTACATTAAACATTTAAATTTTTATATGTACGAGATACTTATTTAAAAATCATTAACAATTTATTTATTTACATTTAAAACTTCTAACAAAAATTTGATCAATATAATTGTTTACTAATTGTTTTTAATAAAATGATTAATTTAATTAATCTACTTATTTAAGAAAAAGAATTATTAATGTATTAATAATTTTTTTTTAAATTTTATATAATATCAATAAGATGTGGCGCATTAAGAAAGTTGAAATCATACCTATAATCCTGTCATCAATGGCCGTAATACCAAAAAATCTGGCCATAAGTTTAGAATCACTGGAAATCAGAAAAACTAAGATCTATGAAATGCAAAAAGCAGTGATACTTCAGAGTTGTAGAACAGTCAGAAAAGTACTAGACTTGAGTTGAGTCTAACCAGTCGTGTCTCTGCCACCAAAAGTGGCCGACACAACTGTGATCACACCGGAACAACCGTGATATACAAAGATAATAATAATAATCATTACTTTATATACTTGTTAAGAAATTACAGATTACTTAAATCTAAACAATAATTTATGTACAAGATCAATTTAATTAATTTACTTATTAAATAAAAGGAATTATTAAATAATAATTTTTTTTATTTTTTATAATAGATATCATATTAAACTTGTTTATATGTATGATACTTATATAAAAATTTATCAATAATTAGTTCATTTAAAGTTACTTTTTAAATGTTTAGTAAAAGTTTGATCAATATTAGTAATAAAATTATAAATAATATATATCATGCGTTATCAGATTATTAGACGGTCCCTTATTATAAAAACGTAATTAATGACCAAGATTAAAAAACAGAAAGTTTATAATACATAAAATTAAATAATGTATTTTATATAGTATTAAATTAGATATTCTACTTAATTAAAATAAAAACTAATTAATACTATTTAAATATCTATTTATATAACAGTCTATTTGAGCTAGATGAAATATATTTTAATAAAACATAAGCTTTGTTAATGCATTTTTGATCACAAAAAATTATTAGAATATCTATWTATAAGTAATTTTTAACAATTTATTTAATTTAAATTAAAAATTTAATCTAAATAAAATAATCTAAATAAAATAAAATAATTTTATTTAATTAATTTTGTTATACTTTATAATTAAATATATATATATATATATAAAAATATGTTAGATTATTTTAATTAATTGTAGTTTTTATTTAATAATATCCAACAATGATTTAATTAATTAGTTAACGTTTTCTATAATCAAAACAACCCCTCCATTGCTGGATATTAAACGGCAAATCAAGTGATTCACAGATTTTAGGTTTGTTTAAGTCGTCGACATTTGTRACAACAAACCGATATCTGGTAATCATATGAACCAATAATGTCTTAATCAATATTGAAGTAAAACGATTGGCTAAACAAGATTGCGGACCAATACTAAAATTGAGAAATTTTGTGACATCAAAGTTTGCCGATTGGTTTTCCGATACAAACCGGTCGGCATTGAATACGAACGGGTCGTCATAGTTATCGGCAGACATATGAACTGCCGAACAGCTGACATCAATTCGGTCACCGATTTTCAATTGTATTCCGGGTATAATATGCCGCGAGTTTCCCGTATCATTCATATAGATTCGTCTCAATCGGACAGCAGTCGGATTCAATCGCATCGACTCTTTGATGACGGCCTCCATATATGGCAAATGTGTTAACGTTTCGTATGATAGCTGACCATCTGGTGTTTCCTTAAGTGCTGACACTATTTCTTCGTACAATTTTTGCTGAACACCGGGATGTTTGGCCAAATGCATGTGTAATACGGAAAGCGATTCGCTAACGGTTCCAAACAATGGAAAAACAAATCCAAAAGATAATAACAAATCGCTTTGTTATCTTTCTTATCAAGGACACCACCTAAAAAAAGTAATAATAATAATAATAATAATAATTAAAATTAAATAAAAAATTAAAATAATTGAATAGTTACTTTCTAAATAGACGCCAACAAAATCATTATCGCAATCATTATTATGATTACTGGATGACGATTGTTGTAATCGGGCGACAATATAGTCAATCAATCGGTTTTCCAAATCAACAAATTGTTTGTCATAACCAAAACCAAACAGTTTGGCCATCGATTGCATATAAGACGGTGCTCTGGCTATTAGTTCGTTGCACTTTAATTTGTGGATCAATCGATGAGCCGATGACCACAATTGGACAGTTTGCTGGTCATTGTCGTAGATGGAAGTTTGGACCGAAAATGAACATTTAAGTGAAACGTCCATGGTAAATTTGGAGTATAGATCTTTCAAATGTATATACTGTTTGCCATTTGCCATATCCTCGATGTGATCGGCAAATCTTTGAGCACATCTGTCGACAATATTATAGTAAAACTTCAAGCGTTTGGTTGTAAATACTTGTGCCTTAATTTTGCGCAGTTGTCTCCACCGGCTGTCCGATGTCTGGAACAGTACCTGTTTGGAGAAGTTTTCCGGTAAATTCATGTTTAACCGAACAAAACTGTGACACTCTTTGATTAAAAYATTTTCAATCGCCTGTGGATCGCATACTGTTAGCACCGGCCTATCAAACTCAAACACACTGTAAGGAAATCATAGTATAGTTTATAAAAATAATTATATATATAATAATAATAATTTATTTTTGTATATATATATACCTGTTTATATATTTTATAGAAAACTATTTTATATTTATAATCTTAAAATATATTAATTTTTATAATATTATAATTTTAATTAATATTTTGTTTTAATTAATTGAATAAACAAATAATTGATTTCAAACTAAATAAATAGCTTAATAATTACTGTAAAAAACAACTAATAAATTATTATAAATATTTACCCAAATGTATTGCCATATAGTTTTTGCCATTTATTATCAACTGTACCCTTTAGTATAGAAATAATATTTCCCAATAATGGCAATGGTCTGGGTCCTTTTATACCATATTTACTCCAATARTTAGMTTTTCTATAATAATCCAAATAACCTGTAAATAATTTCATAAAAAWACAATAAATACAAAMATATTTAGMTATAWTAAATTACAWATRCAATAAATACTATTAATATAATATTATAACTTATTATAACTATATAATTTTAAAAGTAATAAAATATTTATTCAATAGAATTAAATTTTAAAAAAACAATGTAATTTAGTTTTGTTTAATTAATTAAAAAATAATAACTTACCCAACAATATCAATATAAGTAAAATAAAACCAAAAAATAAATTTAACATTTTAATAACATTTAATTATTTTGTAATTTATTTTTTTAGTAAAAATGAATAACAAACTATTCATTCAAATCGCTTACAATTAACTAAATTACTTAACTTGCAATTAAAACAGTTAGATGAAACTTTTATTAATATTTCTTCATTGTAGATTTTTTTAAAAGTCATTATTTAGTTATAACGAAATCCTGAAAGTAGTAGGTATTTAAATTTTATAAGTCTGTCTGTCTGTTTGTCTGTCCCATAAAACTTTTCAAATTTTGATTATAGATATAAATAAAACTTCAAAAAATAAGTTATAGGGATCAGTATTGAAATTTTGATATCTCATCAGGAACATAGAGAAATTGACTGTAAAAATACAAAAAAAAAATTAAAAAAATTTTTGGAATATAAATTTAACTAAAACATCAATAATAAAATATAGGGATTAGTATTAAAAAAAATTATTCTTAAAAACATATTAAATGGCGTCCAAAGTACAAAAATTAAATATATAATATTTAAATTAAGTCTATAAGTATATGATAACTTGTAATGTTGACGTATCAGATGGATTAGTTTTTTTATTTAAACTTTTTATTTTTATTTTACTATTTCTATTGATTTATAATTTTTAAACCTTATTTTTATCAAATAGTTATTTTAATCTACTGGTTTTGAAAAAAATATAATTTGATTGTTTGAATTATAAATTGAATTTATATACAAATTCAAATTTACAAAAATGCACATGTTTTGAGTTATTTTTAAAAATTTAATATATTTGTTATATTAAAACGGGAGTTCGTATGGAAATGCTTTCTAGCATTTTCAACTGGATATAAATTAAAAATTTAATATATAATAAATTTGTTTGTTAATTGTTTTTTTAAATATTAAAATAATAAAAATTCACTTAACTTCAAATCATTATCAAAAAAAATTATTTATAATTCAAATATAGTTTTTAATATAGTTGTAAACTTTTTCCTTATTAGTAATATAATTTTATATATTTATTTATTTTATATATATTTGTAGTGGACAGGGGTTTAGTCGAGTCCACTTCAAGGAACTATAGCTCAAATTGATGAACTTCTGGTACTCGGGGTATCTTCGGAAAATATATCCGGTCTATAGATATTCTTCTTCTTAGAAATATAGATCTCTAGGCTTCTCTATGTCGGTTGAATCGATTAGACTATTATTACATGTAATGGATAACCCGATTTATAATGATATAAGGCCTTAAAATCTATTCAATTTCATATTTTAATACTTATTACTAATAGATATTCAATATTATTATTTTCTAAGATTTATAATTATTATTTCATATTATTCTCAACTTATCAATAATCTTATGTTTAATCAATAATCAATGTTAATATGATATGACTATAAAAGAGGTGAAAGAGGGAAAGAGTGTGCAGTTGTCTTATATCATTATAAATCGGGTTATCCATTACACCCCCGAACTAAGAGTTGGCCAGTCTCTGGACTCTCCTATCTATTCATCTGATTCTTCTATGTCTTCAATCTTGTTTTCCTACTTCTTTTTATTCTTCGTCTCGTCGTCTGAATTATTCTCATCTCTTGATTTGTCGTTAAATTCATCTTCAGTTCCCGACTCGTCCCGAAAGTATTTTGAATAAAGAGAAGTATTTCATTGAATTAGTGAATAAGTTATGAGTATACGAAAACATGTGTTTATTATGAGTGTAACAGTGATTATGAGTGTTGTAATAATAGTCTAATCGATTCAACCGACATAGAGAAGCCTAGAGATCTATATTTCTAAGAAGAAGAATATCTATAGACCGGATATATTTTCCGAAGATACCCCGAGTACCAGAAGTTCATCAATTTGAGCTATAGTTTCTTGAAGTGGACTCGACTAAACCCCTGTTCACTACAAATATATATAAAATGGTCGACAATGGATTATCTATCATTAACTTTTGAAGTTTGAATTAATTAATTGTTATTTTTTAGTTGTTTTTAAAATAATTATTGATTTTTTAATTTATTGAATCTTATATTAGAATATTTAATCATTTAAAAAATGTAATGTAGATTATTATTTATATATTAATCAAATATATAAAGTATGATATATTAAAAATAAGATTATGTCTTTATTGTTAAAATCTAAAATGTTAAATAGAAAAATATAATAAATCTATCAATATTATATAAATATAAATTATATTTAGTTAATATATACAGTATATTATAGATAAACAGAATAAGATTAAAAACATTTGTAATTTTGTTTTGTTTAATTAAATAAAAAATAGTAAATTACCCAACAATACTAATAAATGTAAAATAGAAATAAAAATAATTACATTTTTAAAAACTTAATAGTTTAGTAATTTATCTTTTATTTGTCAAATTTATAACAACTGTTAAATCTGTTTAAAAACTATATTATTTTTTATTAATTTCAAAAATTTGCCTAACCGCGCCTGCTACTTTATAATAATAATTTTAATATATTTAATTATTTAATTTTATTCATTATTTTATATGATATAATATATAATAATAATGATATAATAATTAATTTTAGAACTTATTAATGATAAATATTTATATTTATTTATTAATTAAAATTATGAAGTTTATACAGTATATGATTTATTTAATAGTTTTTTAATGTTATGTGGAAAAGAAGTTTTTATTTGTATTTTATTAAAATTAAAATAAAACAACAAAAACGATATAAAATAATTATGATTATAAAATAAACAAATAGTAATGTTAACAAAATTTATTTAAAAATTTCAAATAAAAATTTTGTATTACAAATAATAATTAATTGTAAATAATATACATTATATTATTATATATTATTAAAATAAACAACTGATTAGTTTGAAAATCATTTATAGTGTAGTTAGTATAAAAAAGCTTAAATAATATTTAAATTGTCCAGGCTAGTAATATTAATTACTAAAATAATAATAATACTAAATTTATTGACGTTTTTCAAATGATATCATTACTTCTTTGACAGCCATTAAGAGAGCAATAAAATCTATTTGAAGTGAATCCTAATATGAATAGAAAATGTGATAAATAAATGAATAAAATACATATAATATTCATGAAATATATTTATATATATATTAGAGTCTAAAGAGTCAGCGATACTATTAATTATTATTATTATTTGGTTAACAATAAATTGGATTTTAAAGTGATAAATGACAAACAATACTAAATAAAAATACAATTCAAAATTTTTAAAAAATTATTTCTATGATTGATCAGATAATTTAAAGACAAAATATAAAAAATACAAATATTAATCGAATGCAATTATCTGGCCAATTATACATTTTTTTAAAAATGACCTAACTACAATTTTATTTATTTAATTATATATATTATTATATTTATATTTTAATTATATATACATACTGTATATAAAGTACAAAGTATAAAGTACTATACATACATTTGACGGGTGAAACTTGTATTTGTAGACTGATTGTAGTACTGCAATCTTAATAACCAAAAGTGCATAAAGCATACCGGGACAATTACGTTGTCCATGGCCAAACGGTAAATAAGCATATGGATTATGATGTACGTCCAAAAAACGGTCCGGTTTGAACTGTTCGGGATCATTGAATAGTGTTGGATCATGGTGTATCGACCAAATAGGTATGTGTACTATAGTATCTTTGGGAACAGTTATTGGTTTTCCCGATATTATCGCATCACTATTACTACTACTACTATCATTGCCACCTCCTAACTTATAGTCTCGATTAGCCGTACGATCAATAAACGGTACCACTGGATACAAACGCAAAGTTTCCGATATAACTGCGTCCAAGTATTTTAGTTTTTTTATCGCATCGAATTCAATCACTTTCTGTTTATTTATTGTAAAATTATTATAAAAAAATAATTAATTTAATTATTAAAAAATTATGACTTTTTTTATTATAAAGTTATCAAACATTTTCAATGAAATATTGTTTGGCCTCTTCATAAAGTTTTTGCTGGACATCAGGATTGTTGGCTATATTATAGATAACCATTGATATAGTTTTCGTAGTTGTCTCATATCCGGCCACAAAATACATTATACATTGGGCTATCATTTCGTCGCTTGTTAAATCTATAACCAATATATAAATATCATTTTTTTAATATAAAAATTTATTGAATAATAATGAATTTATAAAAAAAAATAAAATTTATAAAATAAAAAACGATTCATACATTTATCGTTTGTTTCATACGGTCGACCCACTTCTCATAGACCCCGCGCCAGTCGGCTGGACTTAGGTCTCCCAAAAATGACTCAATAGCGATGTCAATCTCAATTTCGCTATTAAATACCGTTCCTCTCAGGTGTTTCTTGAGGTTTTTGAAAAGCCAAAAATCAGCCGGAGCCAGATCAGGACTGTACGGTGGGTGTGCCAGAAGTCGAATACCATTGTCTTTGAGATACTTGGTTGTTACCAATGCTTTGTGAGGACGGGCATTATCGTGATGCAAAAAAATACCAGTTAGTCCCGACTTCGGGCGGTCCTCACAAACAGATTCAAAGACTTGAGGCAAACATTTCTTCACATACCAGTCGGCGGTAACCTTCTCTCCCTTTCCTAACTTAACGATTTTCACAATACCGGTTGAGCGAAAAAAATGGCGTACATTATCTTTTTTACATGCACTTCACGTTTGGCTAACTTCGGGATCTCTTCATCTTCTATGACCCATAACTTTGCTTCTTTACT